TTTCTTTGATAAGTTCCTTCAGTCCTAAGTCAAGGAACCAGGTATTTCTCTTAATGTTTACTAGATTTTATTGATCCATGAGGAGAACTGAAAAGTTAGAGAGGAGAAAATGGGGTGTAGGGTGGAATGAATGTGGTTGTTTATTTAATGATAAAGTTTTGATGTTGAATCTGCTGGCTGAGGAGGAGGAAAAGTTTCTTTTTCTGCTATCTTTTTTTGAGGGATTTTTCTCCTTTTTTTCATTGTCTTTTTTCATATATTCACATTATTTGTAATAAATTTCTTTGTATGCATATAATCCTTAATAAAAGCATTGTCCAAAATAACCAAGGAGGCCTTTTTCAGGAGATGGGCTGGGCGGGTCAAAGCAGACAAGATGGCGGTCAGATTGTGCCATGCTGGGCAGCCAAAGTGGGCTGAGTAAGTGGCTCTTGGGCCTCCCCTGGATCAGGAAAGAGGCTGTGGGGAGGAGGAGGTAGAGGAGGAAGGGCGTCAGGGAGTCCAGGGCCCATGGTTCCCAGCAGCAAAATCACACAGGAGAGCGGCCTTACAAGTTATTCTGACCCAAACCTTGTTCCACGGAAACAAACACGAAACAGAGGTAACAGCAAAACCTTTTAATGATTCTTTACAAATTCCGTTTCTTCATGGTTAACAGGCTGTTTCAAACTGATTGTCTCTGATAAGAACAAGCCTTGCCAAGTGTGTGCAAGGCTGCCAAGAACACTTAAAGTTACTAAGACATATTTTCCAAACACAAACTAAGAGAGTCCGAACGTCCACAAGGCTTGAGTGCAAAAACTTCTTTGCTTCCTGCAAAGAACTTTGGTTTCTACAAAGGGAAGAAATGCAGTCCAAACCCAAAATACAGATAAAGTAGAAATTTTAAAAACCAGCACAAACCACACTGAAGTAATTAACACGACAGGCCAGGATAATAACTTGCAGACTTCCAAAAGATAACGAAGCACACACAGTTGGGAGGATGCCCAAACCCAGATAAGCCTCGACAAAGATAATACATGCTTTGCTTCCAGCAACTTTGCCATGCGCAGTTTGCCCTTTTAAACAGTCTTCCCAGCTGCAGCCCATGAAGGGGATCAGGGCCCTTTCCTCCCCCATAAACCACATTGCTCCCTTATCCTTTCCTCCCTGCATGCCCTAGGATGAAGAGGGGGTGGGCCTTCCCCAGTTTCCTCCACAGCCACCTGAGCCACACTCCCACTCTCTGTCAGCTGTTCCACTTCTCCCTTGGAATCAGATTCCAACTGGGGCATGACAGGTTGATTGTTCTCACTGCTAGGAAGTTTCTCCATAGTTCTAGGTTAAATCTCTCCTTGATCAGTTTCCATCCATTGTTTCTTTTCCTGCCTTCAGGTGCTTTGGAAAATAGATTGACGCCCATTTCTTTGTGGCAGCCCCTTAGATATTGGATATCATGTCTGCCCTAGTCCTTCTCTTCACTAAACTAGCCATGCTCAGTTCTTATAACCGTTCTTCATATGTTTTAGCCTCCAGGCCCCTAAATCATCTTGATTGCTCTTCTCTGCACTCTTTCTAGAGACAGAAAGCTTTGGGCTGCCTTTTAACTCTAATAAAGGCTTTTCCTGGCCCTAAAGGGCTGATGTGATACACACCCATTCTCACACACCTTCACCACATTCATTCACAAATCATAAAAATAGTATTTTTTTTTCAAACTTGGCAACTGTAAGACAGGTCGACTTCAACTCCCAGAATTCCCAGCCAAGCAGAATGAGGAAGCTTCCCGTAACGAAGACCTTCTCCTGATTATTTGTCCTCACTGTCAGAAAGTTTCTCCTTCGTTCTAGGTTGCTTCTCTCCTTGATTAGTTTCTACCCGTTGCTTCTTTGCCCTGCCTTCTGGGGCTTCGGAGAATATCAATCAATCAGAATAGAGCTTGAAAGGGACCTTGGAGGTCATCTAGTCCAACCCCCACCCAAGCAGGAGACCCTACACCACTTCTGACAGACATGCAGTCCAGTCTCTCCTGGAAAGCTTCCACAACTTCCACCTGATTTATTGTTAGGGCTATCAGGAAATGTCTCCTCAGTTCTAGGTTGCTTCTCTCCTTGATCAGTTTCCACCCCTTGCTTCTTTGTCCTGCCTTCTGGGGCTTTGGAGAATATCAATCAATCATTTCCTTCTAAAACTGAAGGTAAATTCCATTTAATGAATCACATCACAGTTATATAGGTAAATATTCAATTAATAGATTTAGTGAAACGAGTCTCAGTACCTCAGAGATTACTCTAGGAATTATTCCAAAGCAAAGGAGCAAGAAAACCATCAACATGTTCACTCCAATCAATCAATCAATCAGAATAGAGCTGGAAGGGACCTTGGAGGTCATCTAGTCTGACCCCCCCCCCCATAAACAAGGAGGCCCTACACCGTTTCTGACAGACGGCTGTCCAGTCCTCTCCTTGAAAAAGCTTCCAGGGATGAAGCTCCCCTATAACAACTTCGGAAGGCGAAGCTGTTCCCCCTTGGTCGATTTCTTTTCCCTGCCCTTCCCCGAGGCCAGCTTGGCTTTTTCCGAAGCCGCCAAAGCCGCGCCCGGGCTCCGCTCTGTCCCCCAAGAGTTAAAGCGATAGAGAGCCGCGGCGGCTGGCGGCTTGGGAGGCGGCCTGTGGACGCTTTTTCGGAAAGGGAAAGGCTGCAAAAGGCCGAGGCCCCCTTCCTGCTTCTCCGCCAGGCGCCTGGATTTGGGGGCGTCGCCAGGAACGGGAAGCCTTTCGCCGGCAGGCAGCTGCCCCGGGAACCGGCCAAGGTATATATATAGGCCGCCGCGCGATCGGGTCTCTTTTGGCCGGGTGGGGTGGGGTGGCTGCAACGGGGGCTCCCGGAGACCGACCGACCGATCCATCGATCGGATCGGTGGGATCGATGCGATCATGCGATCGAAGGCGCGCGCCCGATCTTTTATTTTTTATTTTTGGCTGGGTACCTGGACAGCCGCCGCTCTCCGGGTCCGATCAAGTCCCCGGAGTTGCGGCCAGCCTGACCCGGCCTCAATTCATCCTCGGCCATTCTTCCGCCATAAAGAAAATTAATAAAATTAATTTATGGCGGAAGAAAATTCCGCCATAAAAACAAAATTTAAAAAAAGAGGGGTGGGGGGTGGGCTGGCCGAGCCCATGGTGCGCAGCGCAAAGCCGGATCTCCGGTCCGGTCCGGTCCAGAATCAGACCCAACGCCAACAGGTTTTTTTTTTGCCTTTGCCCTTTGGTGCTTATGACCCTACTAAGCCCCTTCTCGGCTGGGATACACCCCAGCCAGTCTAGCCTGGTTGAAATGAAGCCAGCTGACCACGATGGGCGACTCGGGTTGCCCTTGATGGGTCGTGTGAAAGGATGGACGGCAGAGAGAGAGAGAGAAAAAAAAAACGCGAGGCTTTTTAAGCAATAGAATGGATGCGCTGGAAAGGGACCTTGGAGAGGTCTTCTAGTCCAACCCCCTGGACGAGAAACCTATAATATTTCAGATAAGTCTCTAGACTCTTCTTAAAAACATCCAGTGATGAAGCACCCACAACTTCAGAAGGCAAAAAGGTTTATTGTCCTCACTGTGAAGAAGTTTCTCCTTAATTCCAGGTTGCTTCTCTCCTTGATGAGTTTCCAACCCCCCCTGCCAGTCCTTCTTTTCTCTAAATCCTGCAGCCGTTCTTCATATGTTTTAGTCTCCAGGCCTTTGTTCATCTTAGTTGCTCTTCTCTGAACCCAGAGACTCTGAATAAAGCTATTTTCTTAGTGATTATGAAAAAAAATAATCCACAGGATGGCTCCCAGCATGCAAGCCTGCAGTTGTTAAATATGAAGCAAGTTGTTTCTTTTTATTAGAGCAGGATTGATGGCAACACACAGAATGGTGAATTTCTCCAAATACAATCAGAAAGATTAAAAGGACGTAATATGGGCACGTCGTGCATGTTGATCGGCCCTTAGAGAGAGAATTAAACACCGGTATCTGAATATTATAGGAAGTCCTCAACTGATATTAGCACAATTGAGACCGGAATTGCTAAGCAAGATGGTTATTAAGTGACCTGATTTGATGACCTATTTGTCACCGTTGTTCAGCGAATTGTTGAGGTTCCTAAGTGAATCACACAGTTGTAAAGCAGATCCAGCTTCCTGTTGATTTGGCTTGTCAGAGGCTGGAATGGGAAGGTAGCATTTGGGAGGCTACCTACGTGGTATATCCCTAATATAAGGGAGACAAATCAAATAAATAAATAAAATAAAATATTAATATCCTTAGAGGCTACCTATACGGTATATCCCTAATATTAATATCCTTAATATTTGCTAATTAAAAGGATTTTAAAAAATACAGTATCCCTCAGCTTAGACCTCCTTGTTTAGTGACTGTTAGAAGTTACAAAGGCACTGACTGATAAGTGACTCATGACTGTTTTTCACACTTAACAACCGTTTCAGCATCTCCCATGATCACATGGTCAAAATTTGGACATTTGGCAACTGGTAGAATAGAATTCTTTATTGGCCAAGTGTGATTGGACACACAAGGAATTTGACTTGGTGCAAACGCTCTCAGTGTACATAAAAGAAAAGGTACATTTGTCAAGAGTCAAGAATCATCAGGTACAAAACTGAATAATAGTCATGGGGTACAATAAGCAATCAAATCATACTAGGAAACAGTTAATATAAATCATAAGCGAAAAGTTACAGTCATACAATCACAAGTGAGAGGGGATGTGCGAGAAAGAGTGATGAGAAGATTAACAGTAATAGTAGTGCAGACTTTGTAAATAGTTGGACAGTGTTGAGGGAATTATTTGTTTAGCAGGGTGATGGTATTTGGGGAAAAACTCCTTGTGTCTAGTTGTTCTGGTGTGCAGTGCTCTTGCAAACCAAAAGTGCCTTCCATAAATAGTTTTCAAAGATAGTAACTAGGTGACCGAAGTTTCTGCTGTGCAAAATTCTAACTGGAGACCATGATTGATGACTCTGGGCTATGGATGTGTCCCATTGGAGAATATGAATTACGATACACCTAAGGGGTGGGGGGAAAACCAGGGACAAGGGTGACAAGGAAGGATGTGTCTCAGAGTCGGCTACAGCCAGGCAGTGCCGGACATGTTAACTCCCAGTAAATCCTTTTGAAGTTTTGGAAGTTTGCCTCGAGGCTCTTGATTTAAATGGGGTAACTGTCGGAACCCTGACACGCAGCCATCTTCCAACAAGCAAAGCCAATGAGGCAAGCCAGATTCGTTTAATGATCAAATGATTCACTTTAACAGTTGCAGTGATTTGCTTAGCCGCTGTGGCAAGAAAGGTGGTAAAATGAGGCAAATCTCTCTTAACTGCTCTCTTTCTTAGCAACGGAAATCCTGGGCTCAATTGTTGAGTTGTAAGTCAAGGACTACCTGTACTTAAAGCCAGGGTTGTTTATTATATGCCAACATTTATCATCATCATCATCATCATTTAACAACCTCATAATCCCTTGTGGGACGGAGTCTGGGCAACTGAATGGAGCTAGCAGAGTGTTTTAATGGCCGGATGCCCTTCCTGTCACCAATGCGGAGTTTTGTTCAGCAGATATATTCTCAGTGTGCCCCGAGAGAGAACTATGGGCAGATAGGACAGCACTCCAGGGGGTTAAGGTCATTGCCCAGAGGATCATGGGTTGCCCTCTCCCCTCTTTGGAAGAGCTTTATAGCTCCCGCTGCCTTAAGAAAGTTCAAAACATTCTCAAAGATCCATCTCATCCTGGGAACCCTTTTTTTTTTTGATCTATTACCATCTGGCAGACGGTACAGGATAATAAAAACAAGGACAAAGAGGCTGAAAAACAGCTTCTATCCCAGGGAAATAGCTCTGTTGAATTCTGCTGTATCATGCAGTGTTGGTGTGGTGTTGGGGGTTTCCGTTTCAGTGTGTGGAGGGTGAAGGATGTGTGTTTGTGTTTATTTTCATGATGTGCACTGAAGATGGTGTTTGATTTCATTGTACAAGGTGCAGTGACAATAAAGTAAAGTAAAGTAAATAAAGTAAACAGTTTTTTCCCTGAAGGCCATCACTCTGCTAAACAAATAATTTCCTCAGCACTGTTGAACTATTTATAAAGTCTGCACTACTATTACTATTAATCTCCTCATCACTCCTTATCACCCATCCCCTCCCACTTGTGACTATATAACTATAACGTTGTCACTTGTACCCTTACGATTTTTATCAACTGTTTCCTAGTGGGATTTGATTGCTTATTGTACCCTATGACTATCATTAAGTGTTGTACCTTATGATTCTTGAACTCTTGACGAATGTATCTTTTCTTTTATGTACACTGAGAGCATTTGCACAAGACAAATTCCTTGTGTGTCCAATCACACTTGGCCAATAAAGAATTCGAATTAAAGAATTCTAAACTAAACTATCTGCCTGTATCTAGGATCGAACTCACAGCCTCCTGATTGTGAGACGAGAGCTCCACCGCTAGACCACCGCACCGCTCTATATGCCAATATTTATCCCCCTGAGTAAACATCACAGTCCACACTTCTACAACAAGAGCTGACTTTTTTAAAATTTTTGTGTGTTTCTTTTAGTGCTTCGTGCTTCCCGGGAGAAAATTTAGCACCCCAGATCTGGAGCAAAGAACAAAAAAATATATATATCTTGAGGATTAAAAACAACAACAGAGAACTTTTTATTTTCACCCCTCGCATTTCAGTCATGTGACAGCAGTCCTCAAGCCACCATTTTGGGGGTTTCTTCTCCATCCACCACCCTGGATAGAACCGAGCCTGATCCACCGTCAAACCCAACGATGAAAATGGAGGCCCCAGAATCTCCCGCAGACCTGAAGCCATCCTTAGACCTGGATGGGCCAAGGGAAAGCCCCAGTGTGGCCCCGATGGGCTCTGACCGGCAAGATCTGAGGTGGAGGAGAGGACTTCCCTACATTAAGCAGGAGCCGGAAGAGGATTGCTTGTCGTCTCTACACTGGGAAGCCCAGTGGCAGGAGTTCCTGGGGACCATGCAGCCCCCTTGCTCGGGGTGGGGGGCCAGAGCTCTGCCGGCGACTGCCCCGTGGAGGGACGCCAAGGCACCCTTGGCCCATCTAGCGTTGGCGGCCGCCGGTGGCCAGCGGTCCTCGGAAGGGGCGTTCTTCCAACCTGTGCCGCCAGGTTTCGTGGGAGGGATGCAGCTGGCTGACCAAGAAAGAGGGGAAGTGAAGGAGGAGGTGCAGAGCCAGGAGGCCCCAAACCCGAAGCCCCCCTGCCAGCGCTTCAGGCAGTTCCTCTACCAAGAAGCGGAAGGTCCCCGGGAGCTTTGCAGTCGTCTCCAGGACCTCTGCCGCCTGTGGCTGAAGCCGGAGAGGCACTCCAAGGAGCAGATCCTGGAGCTGGTGATCTTGGATCAGTTCCTGGGTGTCCTGCCCCGGGCGATGGAGTGTTGGGTCCGGGAGTGCCATCCTCACACGTGTGCCCAGGCCGTGGCCCTGGCAGAGGACTTCCTGGTGAGGCACCCGGAGGAACGAAGGAGGCAGGAGCAGAAGGTGAGAGTGCCCTAAAAGTCCACTTTTAGGACCTCAGGTGGGCCACCAGCCATCCAAATCCTTATAGAAGCTGTTAGCTACCTTTTTTAATTTACCAAGGGACGTTCTTTTGGGTGGCATGAGGCATGATGGGTATTACGAGAGCAATTTTGGGCGTCTTTTTGAGAGCCACGGCTATCCTGAAGGGACCCGACTGAAGGCAACATGGAATTTTAAAAGTTTGTAATGTTATTTTATAATTTGAAAAAGGGTTAATCTGAAATTAATTCTGGTTTTAATGTTAATTGTATTGGTTATATTGTGTATACTGCCCAGAGTTCTCTGAGGGAGATAGGCAGTTAAGATGTAAGAAAAAGAAAGAAGAAAGATGAAAAACGAGAGAGAGAGAGAGAGAGAGAGAGAGAGAGAGAGAGAGAGAAGGAAGGAAGGAAGGAAGGAAGGAAGGAAGGAAGGAAGGAAGGAAGGAAAGAAAGAAAGAAAGAAAGAAAGAGAAAGAAAGAAAGAAAGAAAGAAAGAAAGAAAGAAAGAAAGAAAGAAAGAAAGAAAGAAAGAAAGAAAGGGAGTGGGAAGGAAGGAAGGAAGGAAGGAAGGTATCTTGGTTTTCCTAATCCTCCAATAGCTCCCCTTCTTGACTAATTCCAAGTATTTGCTTATTTTTAGGGCCCAGGGATGTTTCATGTGGTGACTGTGAATTGTCCTGACTCTGATCCAGCATCATCTGAAAGACCGCTTAACAGGCCGATCAAACAGGAGGTCAACGAGGATCACCTTTCTCAAGGTAAGCAGTTCTTACTACCAATTAGATCAGCGTTTCTCAACCTTGGCAACCATGATGGTTGGGGAATTCTGGGATTTGAAGTCCATACTGTTGCCAACACCGGCCTCTCTCATTAATGTGTAGTTCTAGTTTTCCTGTGAAGTTGATGGTTCTGGCCTGAGCTTCCTTTGTGGAGCTGACGAACTAAACTTGCTCAACAGTTATTGATCATTTATTTAAATAATAATAATTTTATAATAGAAAATAATTTTCTGTCAACCCATTTTTGTTTAGATATACAGAAGTACATCAGGGTATGAGAGCAGATGATGTCCGCGAAGTAGAAGCCGAAAGATGGAAGGATCTGAGAGGAAAAGATAAACCTTGTATTTAGAAACAGATGAAAAACCAATATATTAATTAATATATTTACTATTAATTTCCAAATGTTAAAAGAGGGTGTGGGATGAGCAAAGGAACATGCAAGGAGAGTCACCCTGTATGAGTTGGGCAGCCATAACAATCAGTCACTTAATGATTTTTACAAGATAGACATTATACACCTGTTAAATAAATGAATGCCTTTATAGCAATATTAACTCCCTTTTTACAACTCTGTAATCCCTTAATTCAGGCTAGAGTTGTGGCAACTGGATGGAGCTGAGCATTTACTGGCCGGATGCCCTTCCTGTGGCCTGTATGGAGTTCACAGCAGATTTTTTTTTCTTTGCATCCTAGAAGAGAAATATCTGCCCCTACCTAGGATTGATCTTCACCGCTAGGCCCCCACGCCGCTCTTATTTCTTATATTATAAATGTATGTATTTATTGAAGTGAGTTATTTTAGCAAGAAAAATATAGATATCATCCTTTCTAAAGACCCCCCCCTCCATTTTTTGCCTTCCTTGAGCCTGGGAGCAAAAACCCCCCCCCCCCCAAGAGGCTCCTCTGAGGCCCAGAAGGCCCAAAATGGAGCGTGGAGGGGGTGCTGCGAGCCCCTCCCATGCTCTGTTTATTTTCTTCCTGAACCTCAGAGGAGCCTTCTGGGAGCAAAAATGCCCCCTCAGAGGCTCTTCTGAGGCCCAGAAGGCCCCAAAAAATGGGTGGGGGGGGGGGCAACTGCAAAAAAGCAAAAAAAAAAAAAAAGGCCTGACCACGCCCACCTAGCCACACCCACAGAACTGGTAGTAAAAACATTTAAATCCCACCACTGGTCTAGTGTCTCTAGTTTCCACTCTTCTTTTGAGAACGAATATTCGTGCGTTTTCTCTTTATTCCTGCAGACGATGCTCAGGTGGGTGAAATTAAAAAAGATGATGAGTGGAACGACACCATGGGAATGGAGCCCCGCGGATCCTCGTCCCCGGAAAGGCGGGAAGGGACAGGCAGGTTTGGTGAGGCGGGAGAACCCCAGAAGAGTCCTCAAGGCCCACAGGGGAACGGCCCCAAAGGAACGGACGTAAACGCATCCGGGCCGAAGCCGTCCTTGTGTTCAAACTGTGGGGGGAGTTTTAATCCCGTCTCCGGTTTGCTCGGCCCAGAGGGCTTCCCCTCGGGTGCGAACCCTTACAAATGCTCGGTGTGCGACAAGAGCTTCTGCCAGGTTGCCAAGCTCATCGCCCACGAGCGGCTGCACACCGGAGACTGGCCGTACAAATGCTCCTTCTGCGGCAAGAGCTTCAACCGCAGCTCCGACGTCTCCCGTCACGAGCGGATCCACACAGGCGAGAAGCCGTTCAAGTGCACCACGTGCGAGAAGTGCTTCAGCCAGCGGTCCAAGCTGATCGTGCACGAGAGGTTCCACACGGGGGACAAGCCCCACACCTGCTCCTACTGCGGGAGAAGCTTCCACCAACGGTCGGACCTGGTGAAGCACGAGCGGATCCACACGGGAGAGAAGCCCTACAAGTGCTCGGATTGCGGCGGGAGCTTCCACCGGAGTTCGGATCTGGTGAAACACAAGTGGATCCACACCGGGGAGCGGCCATACAAATGTTCCACCTGTGAGAAGAGCTTCCGGCAACGCTCGGCCCTCCTGTACCACGAGAGGACCCACACGGGGGAGAAACCGTACGCCTGCACGGCCTGCGGGAAAGGCTTCAGTTGTAAAGCCCACCTGGTGCTCCACAAACGGACCCACACGGGGGAGAAACCCTACAAGTGTAACTACTGCGGGAAAAGTTTCACCACCAGTTCGTACTTTGTGAAGCACCAGAGAATGCATTTAGGGCAAGAAACTCTGCCGGTTCTCTGAAAAGTAAGAGACGCACCCAGAAATATTTCAAGGCTTTCCTTTTCTGTGGATCTCTAAACCTAACCCCCTGGGTGTAGAAAACTAGCAGGTCGGAAGTAATCCCTGAAGGCTTAGTTTTCTGTTTGCAGGGATTTGTAAAATAAGCCGCGTACTTTCCGTCTTACAGCCGCAGGATGGGAAGAGAGTCTCGATCAGCCGCGGTTGCAAACGTTGAATTTGTTCAATTTGGATTGGGTGGAAAGAACCACCTATGCTGAATCGTGCGGGAAAAACATGATGCCGAGAAATGGTTGCCTCCAGAAGATGCAAATGCTCCAACCCTGGAAGTTTTGAAGAAGAGATTGGGCAACCATTTGTCTGAAATGGTAGAGGGTTTCCTCCCGGAGCAGGGGGTTGGACTAGAAGACCTCCGAGGTCCCTTCCAACTCTGCTATTCTGCTCTGCTCTGCTCTGCTTTACTCTCTACTGTACACTCTACTCTATACACTCTACTCTCTACTCTACTCTACACTCTACTCTCTACTGTACACTCTATTCTCTACTCTATACACTCTACTCTCTACTCTACTCTCTACTCTACACTACTCTCTATACACTCTACTCTCTCCTCTCCTCTACACTCTACACTCTGCACTCTACACTACTGTCTACTCTATACA